ATTCTCAATTTTTTACAATTCTGGTGAAATACTTATTTTACTTTGTTTTATTTTTATTTTTCAACTGATTATTTTTTTTTTTTTTTTTTTTTTTTTTTTTTAAGAGTATATTAGTATTATTAGACCATTTCAACATTTATTGAATTCAAGTTCTTATCTACATCACCAAGAAAAAAGTGGCAATAAATTCATGCAATGTTAGGCTTATAGTACAATATTAAACACTGCTTTTTATTAGACAACATTTTGTAGGTGGACAGTAAAAATGATCCAATTGATCAAATTTTAAAAAAAAATTAACCACAAATCTCTGCTAGAGATAAACCAAACATTCTTGACAATGAAGAGTAATAGTTTGATATTCATATATTCTCTTGCCTCAATGAGTAATAGAGTTATTATAAGTGATCATTAAATCTCTATTATAGTTTTATAATTAAAAAAAAAAAAAATTGATCAAATAACATTTTTTTTATGAAACAAAGCCTAGTTAATTTTTCAATTTTAAATTTCTAATCTTTGATGGTGTGGTGCTCACTGATGGTAACATTGAACAGAACAATCGCTCTTTAGATTAAACATACTTTTAAAAAATATTAAAATAATAATCACTAGCAAAATAAGCATCAAGCAAACCATACATCTTATAAAATCAGATAAGATTTTTATTGATACATCACATGCTTATGCATTCAATAGTTTCTATTTATTTATTTGTGTGTGTGTATAATATATGTGCCTGAATCACAGTGTGGTTTCAACCAACACAGGGACCGCAGATATGATTTTCACAGTACCGCAAATCCAGGAAAAGAGCTGTGGACTTTTATCAAATATTTGTAGATCTGAGGAAGGCTTTTGACACTGTTAATTCTGCTTCTGTTTGGGAAATCCAGTCAGAATTGGACACACACACGCACTACTTTATTGCACATTCTGCATCACATTTGTCTTTTGGGTGTTCATGCAAAGAGTGTATATAAAAATAATTTTCAGATGAGCAATGTTTTAAGTGTCTGTGTGTCTGTGAAAATATATAATACATAAGTTTAATGGTCAGAGCTGAATCAGACCAGGAAACGGTGGTATTAAAAAGTACTCAATATATGTGTGGAAAAAATAAAGTAAAATAATATGTAGAGCTTTTAATTTTAAATATCAGGAGATCAATTTGAATCTGCAATCTTGGTTTCAACCTCATGGTATCCTCAGGTGATTTTTATCAAATGACCTCTTAAAAAAAATGAAACTAATGAACACTATATTTTATAAAAAAAAATAAATAAATAGATAAACAAACACACCATGTTAGGTGTAATAGAAAGGAAGGATGAGGAAAAAGAGAAGAAAAGCAAGGGTATTATAAAAGTATTGGTGTGGGGGTGTTGATTGAAATGTACTTTTTTGACAAAAATGTACATTTCAATTACCCAGTTTTCTTCCCTTGCTCTTCTCCTTCCTTCCTTCATATCCTCCTCCCTTTCTATTACACCCAACGTGTAGCATTCATTAATTTGTCTTTTTTTTTGTTTTTATATATATATATATATATATATATATATATATATATATATATATAAAAAGCATTATGAGCTCATTTGATAAAAATTGCCTGATGGTACCGTAAGGTTGAAACCATGGTAGCGGATTCAACTGATCTCTTGATTTTAAAAGTTACATATAAATTTTGTCACTTAGCTGATGGATATTACCTTCAGCATCCCAACTACAGAGTTTTGTAGACTGATCCTCCAGATATATATCTTCTATAGCATATTGTTGAGTATAATTCTGATATGTAGAATTTTTCACCTTAGATGTAAAATTGTTTTCCTCATTGGAAAAGTGAACTGACCATGTAGTTTGTCTACAAGGCCTTCTAAAATTTTAAATAATCCCAATTATTTTAAGATGAGCAATCTTATATTCATCTATCTTAATATGAACTGATACCTTGTTATTTTAGTGATTATTTCTATTGGCTGCTATAATCTTTCATCCATTTCCATGTTTATTTTACACTAAATTCATGAATATTAGGAACAATAACTTGATGTAGTGCTATTAATTTATATTTAATTGTTAAAATATAGTCATTTTATAATTGAAATTATTTTAATCTTTTATAAGTGTTTCCTTGGAAAATATTTGTTTTCATGGGAAGCTATATATTTGTTTATGTATTTCCCAGTTTTCATGTAATTTTTATGATGCCAAAGGAATATAGATGTAAGTTTGGCAGTATAAACTGAAGTAGTAAAAAATTAGCTTACATGTAGCTCCACCTAAATAACAGCAAGTATTTTTTGTACATGGCATCTGCAAGGTGCTGAAGTTCTTGCATTAATATATCTATCTAGGTACACTCCCAGTATGTTTAAATGAATTCTTTATTTGATGTGGCTGCAGAAAATTTAGTAATTTCTGCAACATGTGCCTTACCTTCTCAATGGTGATTGAATTTGGTTAGTGCAGATTACCTGGAACCAGTTTCATGCCACTTGCCCATGAAGAAAGTGCATTGTTTTGTTGGAGCAAGTCATCAACACTGAGAAATATAAGTATAAAAGAGGTGAAAAATGATCTTCAACAAGATCTCTGTATGCCTCACTGGTCAAGAGAACAACTGAAGAAGTTGCTAACTTTGAAGATAGTGTTGCTATTGTAGTCAAATGATTTTAAAATCCCTTCTTCATCCTGTGGCTCTTACGACTACTTTACCACTTTACCTATTATGTCTTGTATGTAAGTGGGAGAGAATAAAATCATGAACTATACAGTGTACTGCTGTCCCTAATTTTTTACCACTTCAGTTTATTAACAATTATTTTTATTTTTTTTGTAACGTTACACTGTTCAAACTACAAAAAATGCTTGAAATCAATGATAGTACCTGCTCAGAAACTGTCCTTACTAAATGTATTTTCTGTATGTGAATTTTTACATTATTTTTGGTTGAAGAAAACCTTTAACTAGGCAGTGTCAAGTCTGAATTTTTAAACTTTGATTTTTTTTTTTTTTTTTTTTTAAGAGAATAAATTTATGCATACTTATAAAATTGCTGTAAAAACAGCTTATAGAACACAACTAGTTATATATCTAAATAACTTAACAATTTCCAGAAAACAACTAAAACATTTTGATATATTTTCAACTTGCATGAACATGGTTACTTGAAATACCTTAAAACATAAGTCACATTTAATTGTATTTTTCCATATTTAAAGGTATATCTCTTCTCAGTCTGAAATGTTTGAAATAACATTAACAAGTAGAAAACAAAACAAAGCCATCATTATGTAGACAGATTTACTTTTGTCATTTAAAAATAAATAAATAAAAAATAAAATATTTTACAGTTCATGAATATAAAGTAGGTTCACTCTCTGCATTTTCTTTATTTTATGATTTGACCTAAGATTTTTTTTTTTTTTTTTTTTTGATAATTATTTGATTCATGAATTTGAGCTTACTGGGAAACAAATAACTTCTACAATGATTTTTTTTTTTTTATTTGAGAAATTAACAAAAAGAATTCAATTAAGATTTTTTTTTTCCACCTAAGTTGTCAATTCATTTCCTAAGAAATTCTTTCTTCAATGAACCAATAAATTCATTGACAAAAGTAGTTTTCTCTCAGAAATTATGCAGGTTTTTTCATCAGTTGATTTTGTTCTGAGTGGTGAGTTCAATTTAAATTAATAGCGTCTGATATGCTCAAAAACATTTTATGTACACACATATACATAATATTTTTAATGATACCAAATTTGTTAAAACATTAAAAAATAAACCCCTTCATTCAGGTTGAAAAACAAAAGTATTTCAGGCATTAATTCAGGTAAAAATATAAATTTTAATTTGTTCTGGATATTCAACAAGTACAGGTTAGAAATTGTTATATTTTGACATTACAAATTGATTTATTCAAAGAATTTGATTCTACAATGGATGGTGTTGAAAGTCATAAATTATTCTTTTTATTAAGTGACAACACACTTTATAAATGCAACTTATAGTACTAAACTGTAGCAAGTTACTAAATACTAATTCACATGTGCTCACACACATCTTCATGATTCTCTTGATTAATTTTTATTATGCTATCATATACACTGTACTTTATGCATTGCATGTACACTAGTTGTTTTTTTTTTTTTTTTTTTTTTTTAGAAATATCTACTTCATTTTGCAAGGGACACCACCATTGTAGATCCACTTATTAAATTACAAAATATAGCTATTAAATTTAAATGTGGTACTTGTAAAAACTTAAATAGCAAAAATAAATGCTAAAAAATATAATCAAAACCTATTAGAAATTTCATGTTCTTTACCACCTAGCCTAATAATTAATACATGTTATATATTGAGACATAATAATAACCACTTTAAAAGAAAGAAGAAAAAAAGACATTTCTAAGATATTAGAATTTCAAATTTTACCATTGTTTTACTGGTATTTGTTTCAGCATAAAATATTTTTTAATCAATGCTATCAAAAGTTCCTTCAAGAAGTTAATTTCATCTGTTACTCCCAAAAAGTTCATTTAAAAACACATTTCACTGAACTCCACACCATCATCTAAAAAAAAAAATTGCAAATTAATTTTATTTTAATTCTAGAATTATTGTCTACCTAAATAATTTTTTTTTCACAAATGCCTGAATAGTTAAATGACTGATTAAATTAAGAAACATTACTTAGCTAACCACTTTTAGAACTAATAAAGGCTCAAATAATGATTGCAGTTTTAAAAAAAAAAATTTTTTTTTTTTTTTTTTTTTTTTTTTAACTTATTTGAAGACAGTTTTTTTTTTTTAGTTTTTTTTTTTCCTTCCCTATTTAAATGATGTCTTGGTTTCTCTGTTGAAACATGCAGCCAGTGTATGCTCTTTGTTTATCGTCAAGGTGTGGTTAACTGACCATTACTTTGGCGACAAATTTAGGTTTTGCTTTGCCATTTACATGATATGCTTGTATGCCCATATTTGTTTAGGGATCAGTCATACAGTCGTGCGTCGTCACTGTGCTATGGCGCTCCTCCTACTCCGTCACACGTCTCCTCTGCACACTTTGTACCAACAGATACTTCTGCTACCCACCAATCATGGTCAGCCTCATGATTTGCATCTTCAGTCAGACATACCACCGTGTCCAAACTGTCCTACTCAGTTCCAGGATGGCTTACTCTACTGCAACCACTGAGTTATTACTACTCGTGGCTGGATGACACATTTTGTCTCCAGCGGATACAAGAGATACCAATTGCCACAGTTGCCAGTCAAGTGTACTCATTAATGTAAACCAATCCTAATGACTCGGCTCTACAGGAACTAGAAAAATTGACCAATCCAATCTCCATCAGATTACCAGATTACTCAAGCATTCTCATTAACCTAGACCAATCCTTTTGAACCAACTTTCAGTCAAGGAGTCTGAAGGCCACCAACCCTAAACTTCTATCATACCAACATGTGTAAGTGCTACATATGGCATCTTAAGCATCAGATTATTCAACTGGCCTGTGATTAATGTTTGACCACTCACTTTAACCTTTCCTACTGGTTTCATTTACACAAAAATCACATCACCTAGTGTTGGTACTAGGATAGTTGCTTGTCTTCGTAAGTAATGTTCATTTTGGCCCCGTTCTTCACGGCACACCACAGCCAGCATAGAACCTAAATATCAAATTTCATTTTTAATTGCAGTTATGTTCTTTTGATAAGTTTCTAAAATATAAGTGTAAATTTTATCTTGGAAAAACATTTTTCGAGTCAAATATTTAAATGTATTCAGTATTTTTACAAATATTTTAGTAATGTTTAACTTCATGATACTTTTGTTAATAAAATAATTATTTCTTGATAAAAACTTATTTCATTAAAATAATTCTTTGAAATAAATATTCCCCCATCACTTCTGAAACATAAAAGATAATTTTAAATTATTTGAACAAGCTTTATCACTACTCTAACTGAAATCCATGTTTTGAACTTGGGCTTTTATAGATAAAAAAAAACAACTGATAGTTTGAATTTATTTAATTATAAAGTACATTTTTCTTTCTATACCTCCTCAAAACTACTGCTTGACTGTCTACTCTCGGATTAATCAAATATTTTATTGTACTCATTATCTAAAATGTTTCTAATGCTCAAATATTTCACTCTGCATAAAAGGAAGTAAAAACAATCATGTGCTGTTTCCTATGCAAAATGAAATAAATTCTTAAGTTAGTCACAATTTTTGGTATTGAAGTCTAGCTACACACTCAAATGTCATAAAATTTTGCTTATTTTCAAATGTGCAATATTAGATTTTTTTTTCTATATGCTTTTACTTTTTGCATTGTAAAAGCAAAAAAATAAATGCAGATATTAAAGTAACATACAACTTACAAGTAATATTACAAATAAGTTACTAATACTTATACAGTTGTTTAGAAGTCAGTCATATTTAATGATAGATAATAAGCACCTCTCATAGCCAAATCTAGTAGGTACATATTCAACCACAAACTTGGATTTGTGTCTGCTTTTACACATACATGCACCACTAAAATTATCCAATTGTATATAAGGCTCTTTTACTTGACATCAAATAAGCTTCTACATCATATAACTTATCTCTAAGCAAAAGTCTCATATACCTACACCATCCACCAAAATAATGTGGCTTTATGCTGAAACATTTACTTTCAGCCGTAATACTCTAGTAGGTTCTAATTTTACATTGACCTCTACTAACATGTTCTCATTTATGAACTAGTGTTATAATTCATCAAACTCTAAATTCAGTCTCAATGTCTCTCACCAAACTGCAGCACATTTATCTCGATAATTATTATCCCTTGAAGATTTGTAACATCTCTTCAATTTGTTAGAATAATGAATCTATATATTTTTCTATTCTTCATGTAGAACATAAATTTAAATTTAGTACTCATTGTAATGAGAAAAAAAAAGCTTTTTTATCCTAAAAGAATAATGTAATTTATATTCCAATCTTATACCCAATTTAATTCTATTTCAATAAAACACTAAAGAAAGTTTAAAATGTATTTTGAAAAGCAGGAAAATGTGAATCTCATAAATACAATTGATATTCCTGAAAATATATTTTAACTATTTTGTGGTGGCTAATGTTCTCCCAAGAAATTTCTTTGTCTTGGATCTTCTTACTCTGACAGTGAATTTGTAAGCAATGATTGTTCTGAAGTGGCTGACAAGATATTTCGCTGACATTGCACATAATATCTCCAGTCCTAACTGGTTAATGAATGTTGTAACTTGGAAAATAGTAAATTTCCTATTATAATTTTGTATTTTGCTTCTAAGGAAAATAGCATTGACAAAATGGTTTTATGTGTGTGAATAAAATTAACATTTTGTTTCATTGGATTAGGAATCAATATAGCAATTATCCATTTCTTTTATTTTCAAACTTTAGTAGTTTTATTTATAATTACAATTAATCTTTAGGTTTTGTTTCTAAGTAAAAAAATCAGCTCAGTACAGAATAGCATTTAATTAAAACAGATTTTATGCTTGCTGTGTAGTTGTGCTGGCCTATTTGTTGTTCTTTTCACATTTATAATAAACAACTCACTAAAACCACTGTTAATGAGGTAATTTGTATTTGCTTTTAACATTTTAGATTAAACACATTTAAATAATTTACATATGCAAACATGAGTACCCAAAAATACACTTTTAATTTGATATTGATTTACATTTTCAGTTGTTTTATTATACCCAATGAGGAATTCTTTTTTTATATTTTGGCATTTTTTATCATTTTTTTCTAGGAAGCAAAATAGCTTCAAAATACTTTTTATTTTGTGCTGTTTTTGTTTAATTTTATATCTTTGACTACAAAGGAAGGTGGAAGTAAGATGTCTATTTTCTAACTCAAGACTTTAATCATTCTCAAGATGTTAGCAGTGAAATAATGACCTTTTTTTCCCCCTCCATTTTTAAAATCCTCTTCCACTTTCCTTCAATTTTTTGAAATTTTAAAAGTAAGTACTAAAATGTGATTTTTTTTTTTTTTGTTTCATAATGTATGATGTTTATTCTTTCAGATGTTTTTGTCAAAATAGTATATTCTAATATTGTTTTATTTGCTTTTTTTAATTTGTAATTTGTAAGAAACTCATTGAATGGTTAATTTGGAGCTTCCGTAAGGACTTGATTTGGTTCAATAATTTACAAGTTTGCATTTAGCTTCAGTTACTGTGTGTGTGAAACCTAATTCTACATCAATCTGTATGTTTATATTTTTCTGAAACTATGTTCTGATAATTATCACTTAAGATTTTTGGCTAACTTCAAATTAAGCATTATATTACAATCATTATACTTAGGCTAACATGAGAATTATGTCCCTTTTTCAGTTATAAAATAATGGATGAGATTGAAGACCTTGTAATGTTTAAAAAGTTCTTGTGAAGTTTTAAATATTTTGTTCTACAGGTAATAAAAATTAATCTGAAATATGTTTGAAAGGGTGATTTTATTTTTTAACTTGTTTAATCTTGGGGTTGTTTCAGACTTTCTCTTTCCATAAAAATGTGACAGTTGACTATTCTTTAAAGTACAATATTGATTTTAATTTTGTGAAGGAAGAAATGACATTTTTAAATGTTAGTTAACAAGTCGAATTAACATCAAATTTAATGCAAACTGGATCAAATATCTTTCCTATCCCCTCCCCACCTTCAAAAGACAGTGAATTGCTCCCACTGCCTAGATTTGGAAATTTAAGATCAAAAATTAAAAAAAAAAAATCACACAAAAATCAGCAGAACAATAAAGATGTCAGTATTTTTTAATCTTGCCATAACCTGTTTATAATGACCATATATTTACCCACATAATGACTGAAACTAGTCAACACTTGAAAAAAATATACAATATATAATAATCCCTTCTTGGATCTAACCCCCCCCCCCAAAAAAAAAGGCGAGGTATCTGTGTATCCCCAACAGTATCTCTCCATTGAACTAAAATGGGACACAAATGAAGATAGGATTTATCAGTTTACTTATCAGCACTTTTGGTGGAGATTGGAATTTTCACAATCCAAAATAAGCAATACTTTAAAGTATCTGCATTAACACCAATGTTAATACATTAAAAGAATTGTTATAGAGAATGTGCTTTGATAAATTTTAAGCTATGCTTATTTTTATTTTATATTTTGATAACTGTCAACTTAAAGATTTCTTCTTAGAATGAGTCCAGCACTTGTTAGAAGACTAGATGGAGTATCCAAATGGGAGTAACATCCTAGATGATAATTCTAACTACTTTGAGCCAAGCTGCACAATCTTCTTGATTTCTTACTCTTGTAAGATGTCTTTTTGTGAAAAACAGCTCATACTTTAGGCATTAGTTTGAAAATAATTACAAAAATTTTTCTTTAGTTTGTCTTAAAAAAGTCAAATAAAGCAAATCTAGGTAATATTTAATGAATTGGTTGAATTGTTTCATATAATCTCTCTCCCTGGAAAATTTTAATTGCGAAATGAGCAATTTAATAAAAATTAAGATTATAAGTTGGATCAATCTGAAATTAATATAATTTTTGAATACTTCTAAATAAATTGTGCTCTTCAATGTTTCTTCAAATAAAAAATACATGTCTAAATGTATTTTGAATCTAAGTAAATTTTAAGCTGCTTCTATACAGCCAATGTGAAATGTTGCAATCTTATTGTTAATAAAAATGCATAATTTATTATCTGCTGACAATGGATATATTAAAAATTATATCCCTAAAGTATTCTTCTTCAGGTTTATATTAATAACTTCTGTTGTAAAGGTGCATTTCTTGATATTAAACTTCACATGCACTTTATGTATATTCTTCACTTGTTTTGAATACTAGATATTTAGTAAATATTTGAATTTTATCCACATTGCCAAGAAGCTTGATAAATATCAAAGTAAATGTAGCATTCAACAATTTAAATGCTACATTTTTATATTTATTGACAATAAAACCTGATTCAATAGATTTGTGAGGCAAGCAAATTTTTATAAAGGCTTCACTTCAGTGAAAATTGAAATCTTGGTTATGTTTTTTTGCCAAGAAAGTATTAGCAAGGTAAAAACTTTTTTTTTTTTTATTTTATTGTAGATATTTTATGAAACTTGACCTCATCTGAAACAGTTAATTAAATGGTTGATGAAAAGATTTCATCAGTTTTCCAAAATGTGAAGTGCTTGCCTGCTTTGAGATTTAGGTTTTAATTGGGCTCAAACACTTAATCTTTATGTCATTGAAAATACCCAATTATCAAACAGGCTCCAAACAGTTTAGGACAGTCTATGAGATGTATGTTGATTAACCATTATACATATGATATAAAAAGAAAAAGTGCAAAATAAGTTCTTGAATGGCAAATGATGTCAGCTAAAAGTCTATAGAAAATATTTTATATTATTAATTTGTCTATTTCTATTAACTATATCACCTGAATCTTTAATTAACCCATGACTATGACTCTACACACTTTATAAAATTCTACATTTATAATATACACACTATTTACCTCCTGAAATCTTAAACATTGTTGGCAATTTTGGTATAAAGAAGAAAAAAAATCTACTCAAAATAGTATTAGCTCTAATGTATTTCTTTATTTGAATTTGAGACTTCAACACATTTTATTTATCATTGACTTTGCGATATATTAGCCAATAGAAATTAATTTAAAGAGAAACTGGTTACTATGCATGAACTCTATCCAGAAAGTTCATGCTTAGTATTGTCAAATCTACCTATAAGAACAAACACTGGTAGTTTTGAAGTCAGTATTTTGCTTTGTTTGATGTTAACAAGGCAATAGATTTTAGTTTAAACTTTTTGTTTTTCCTTCAGATCTTCTATTTGAATTGAAAGCTGAAATTAAATTCTATTTTATGTATTTTCAGATACTTTATCCTTTGAATTGCTTTACTCAATGGCTATAAATATTGTATATGCTTGCTGAGTAAATATTCTCATTTGGATTAAAAATTCAATATACAAGTTACAGAGGTGCTTGTTTATTTAGCTATGAAATCTCTTTGCAATAACTTTTCTGTTAATTGATCAAAACACTTTCTATAAGTTATGATGGATTTGGCATAGGGTTATTAGCATTACTAAAACACAGTATATTATTGTTCCTTAGTTTAAACTATTATCATAGACAGATGAATTCATTTGGATTAAAACTTTAAAAATTTCTCCTGTAAAGTAATAATGATTAAATATTGTATTTATATATGAATGTGCCTAGTTCTAAAAATTTTCTATTAATCCTTTCTTAATGTTGTCATAAAGAAGAAATAATTTTTATCTTGATTTTCTTCAGATCTTTTCCTCGATATACAAAGAAATCTCAGCTATACTAGCAAGAATACTTTTCAAAGAAATTAGTGTTACAGTTTACTTTCCTATTTTAAATATTAGTGTTTAAAAATTCTTATATAGAAATGCTACAATTTTTCTATTAAGTGTAGATTACAATGTATTGCCAGTAAATATTTTTATGACATTTTAAGTACAAATTAGCAAAAGAATGACTGCAATGAAAACTGTTAGTGATTATAGACTTTACATAAATTGTCTATTCCAAAAATTAAATTTGAAGTTGAAATAAGGTAATTTTAATTTTTTTTCTCATTTTTCATTTTCTCAACAATTACTAGTTCAGTTTTAATAATTACTCTTAAACTATCAAATATGCTCAATTCTATCATCCTTATTTAAAAAGAAAAACTATATATTTCCTAGTTGAGATTATTTCTACATGTGTGAATTTGTGCAAAATGTTATCATTCTTTATTTAATTCTAAGCTTTATTTTTCATGGAAATTGCATTGATCCTTTGTTGTAATGCGACTATACGTGCCAACTTATCTCTTACTTCATTTGTTCCAGGGAAAATCAACCCAATGCAGCTGTAAGGTGAGAGTTGACTTTAGCTGAAGCCATCCTTTTTAGACAAGCATTCCTGTCATGTGCAGATAAGTTTTGATTTTATACAAAAGAAAAAAAAAATATTTAAGTTTGTTAAAATTTAAACCTTATTACTTTTTCAAGAAAATTGAAATATTTTGCATGTGATCCAAAGAAAATTCTGGAAAATTATATGGAGTGCACGTTTGAAGTTTTTTCTGAAAACTTGTTCTTTGTTCTAAGTTAATGAACTTTTAATTTGAAAAATATCAAATGTTGATAGACCACAGAAAGGACGAAGATAATAGTCTAAAAAATTTGAATGAAAACTCAATTTTAAAAACTACCAACAAGACAGTTAAAATTGATTGAGGTAGGGAAGAGGAAGAACAAAAGCAGAAGTAGTATTTTGGTAATTCTGTTTAACTCTTTAAGTTTTTATGGATTGACAGTTTGAATTTAACTGTTTAGTGTATGATCCTAAAAAAGTGATAGAGAAGAAGAGTAAATAGTTGATTAATTTTTTGAATCTGATGTGAAACTATATATGAACAAAAAAATTCTCTTAAATTGATTAATAGATTAAATATTTTGGGAACTGCAACAAAAAGATCTAGAGGGTATCTTTTTAGGACATTGTAAATTTTCATCCATACATTCTTTCCAAAAACATTAGGAATGGGGAAAAAGGTTGTCTACAAAAATATTTTGAAACTAAAACTTAAAAATTTTCTTCAGATAATATTTTTGTAAATATTAAATTTTTAAAATAACTTTACGGCTGGTTGAATTGCTCCTACAAAGTTGATACTATGCTCTTATCACAGAACCTCTTTGCTAATATATTACAAGTGCTTGTTTTTGCATTTCTAAATTGTTAGTGCTTTACCAAAGATTAACAAAACTACTCTTATTACATCATTACCATCGCAACATAAGAATTTGTTTGTTGTACATACAATATAGAATTATACCAACATTTTAATATCCTCTTTTTTCATGACTAGATGCATTTCACACAGTGGTATTATTAAAGTTTCATTTAAATCTTGTATAATAACATTAATCATCACTGATCATTTATAATGAAAGAAAAAACATTAATGAGTAAACAACTTACATCCATACCAACATTGTTATTCATAATTGTAATACTCTGATTCACCACAAGTATCAAAAACTAAATTATAGTTTAATAATTGCATAAATTATATAATTTATTTTTATAATTATGGCATAAGCATAACTATTTACATGCAACAATTAGATGGGGCATAGAACATTTATTAAAATGATTACAATAATGAAATGATTGCAAAGGTTTAAAGTCTTTTTAATAACACTTAAAGACTTCATTTTGTGTAATGTCTTCCATTTTTCCTTTCATACAGGTTTTGATAGCATTACAATTTTTTTTATAGAAACACCCAGTTCAGCACTACCACTTATTTCAAATGTACAAAAACAAAAAATGGTGCTAAAATTAAGAAATATTAACCAGTATATTTTTGTAAGATACTTAATCATTTCAGAAAACATATGCCAATTTCTAACATGTAAATTCTTCAAATTGCAGTTGGAACAGCAATTACAATCAATGTTAGTCAATCTGGCTGCATATCTTTTTACTGAATTCACACTTTGTCACACTTTTCAAATTATGTAATAGTCATTAATATAAAATTTACATCTACATCAGTCATTAATGACCTTTTTATTTTCTAGATGCAAGCAGCAACATTAAAACTTGTTTTCTAAGTTTCATAACCCTCTTGAATTGGTGCCTTAAAAATTTAGTTCATATTTATATTTTTATATGCTTGGATTTTTTTTTTTTTTTATTTATTTATTTATTTATTTCAGCCAACAAATTTCAAAATCATTTTAATCCATCTTCCAATAGTTTTAAAATAAAACTTGACATTTTAATTTGACACAATTCCGGTTTTACTGTAATCTTGAAACTACAGGTAAATACAGTATAGTTTATCTTTTGGAAATTTCTTCATATGAAAAATTTTAATATATACCATTTTCAAATATCTGGAAATGAACAATACTGTAAGTGCATTCTTTTTTCTAAATAACCGTTTAAAAGTATATAACCCTTTTTATCTAGGTTTTATAAACTGCAATTTAATAGATTTTAAATTTGCAGTAAAAGAATTTGTATAAAAAGCAATTGAAGGGTTTTATGAAAATTGATTCCTATTAAAAATATAACATTTTTATTTCTGTATTATATACTATATGCAATAATTTTTTTTTTTATATATATTACCCAATCCCAACCAATTAAGAATGTATTGTATTTTCATCATAAATGTCACTATTTTACAGTGTAAAAATGTTTTAGTTTATAGCTGCAGATAATAAAGCTCTTATCAGGTGAGTCATCTATTAGACCAGAGCATATCCCCCTTTGCTCTATCAGATGAGTTTGCCATGTCTTCTTTCAATTGTAAGAATGTTGGGACTGTGAAAAAATTCTCTTGACTTTTCTGATGAATAAGAAGAAAGAGTGTATTTACATATGCATGGAAATTGTGAGAATTAAATAGTTGTTTTTTTTTGTTTTTGTTTTTTTTAATATCATTAAAATATCAAATGTCGAGGGCTGAGGTAGCTCCAGATTAATCAGCATTGCCCTTTATTAAATTTATTCCTAAGTTTTTATTAGGTTAAAATATTATTGATTTGGTATTATGATGCTTGATTTTTATTGATCAGATATTTTTTGTTTCTCTATAAGATTACTTATTAATTATTTCAGTTTTCTAATTTATACATAATTAATATGGACCTTCTCCTATCTTAGCAGCCAAATTACACACTTATCAACACTATTTATCAACCATGATATTTTTTTATTTATTTGTAACTCTCTTTTTAATAATTTTTCACTTGTATCATTTTATTAGCCTTTTCACATTCATTGACATTGATTGAGTAGTCATAAATTTTCTTTTGATAGATATTTTCTTAAATTTAGCTTGCATAAATATAAAAACTTTCCTAATTCCTTTTAAAATGTTGTTTTTTCTTTTCCAGGTCTAGTTCTGATCGTTATTCCAGGTCACGTTCTAGAGAAAGAAGCTATTCAAGGTTTGTAATTTCCAACTACAATTTTTTGTAGAAAATGAAATCTTTTCAATCAATCATTATGAATATCAAAATAACAAAATATTTTATTCAAAATTTATTCAAGAATCATGATAAAGAATTATATAAACATGTCTGTTCTCTTATTTCTTTTTCTCTGTCTGTTGCTCAAGTCAGATATTGTTTGTTTGTAGAAAAGAAGATGGCTTAAATGTGCTGTGGGTACATGTCTCAATGTATTATAGCTTAATATTTTAAAAGTATGTTGTTACAACTGATCATATATAAACTTGGCTCATGGAATTTTAATACACTTACAATAAAATGTTCTTGTTAGTATAAAGAGATAAGCTTGAAAGAAGGTCAGACTCTCATTGTAAAGAAAATACATTATGACAGCTATATATTCAACTGAACAATTTGTAGATTTGTGATATCATTCTACAGATAAATTCTAATTGCTTATTGCAAGTTGTGGTTGTAAAGTCTGCTAGCTGATGAAAAACATCAGCAAGTAACCAGCTTAGCTGCAACAGAATGGCTCTCATCTGGGCACCACAAACAATACTTCAGTTAATATTTGAGAGTTAATCCAACAGCAAATATATCACAAGCTAATCTCATTGAACTGACTTGTGAGTACTTAGAATTTATTGCAAACTAAAGTAATTAATCATTTTGCCCCCATTTGGAGTTTCTTTGATCTAAACAAAATTTTAAAAAAAACTGTCAGTAGCAAAATTACAAATGATGTTTTTGATCTCCACTTCATACTATTTAAAAAAAAAAAACATAATGGGTCTGTTCAACCTGTGAAATTATCCAGCTTGGATTCCAGGGGCAAATGAATTTTCTCTCCACCTGAAAAAATTCTCTGATGTTTTTATGGCGGAGAAAAAAGTGGTCTCATTTTTAATTAGGAGGTGGGGCATAATAATTCAACAATATTTCTTATCCATGGAATAAGAATTCAATTCTTGGGAACATAGTTAACAGGGCCTTTAAACATCATCATGCTGCCAAGTTAATAGCATTGTGATATCTTTGATTTAAATATCAATTTTTTACAATGAGATTGCTTATTTCCTGAGAATGTTTTTTTGTTTATCCCCATTTTCAACATATTCCTCAAAAAAACAACACTGCTAAGAAACACAGATTTCTTGCATTTTGTTTCAGAAACATTCATCAAAATTATCCTAGTTTATTACATTGCGTTCTATGAAATCTTACAGGTTGACTCCCAGTGGTGCCTTAAGCCAATTATTTAATTCTTTACATTTTAATCCTTTACAATTTTGATTATATTTGAGCCTCATCATAGATGCAATTACATACCATTTGAGTTGAGTGAAATGGTCTTAGATTTATTAAAATATAGACAAATGTTTTAAAAGGAAGAGTTTTTATAACTTTGTTCATGTGGTGTTTGTGTGAGATAGAGATGAGTTTGAAAGTAATTTTGTATGGGGAACATATATAAATAAACAAGTTTCTATTAAACTATTGTAAATAGTAAGCAACTAACATCAGAGGTTTAACTTGCTGTAGAGCTTATATAAATAAACAGGCTTTATAGCTTGATAAACTTATGTTAGTTGCTTATCATCCACTAGGATGAAAAAGCCATTAACTTTGTGATCAGTTTATATATAAGCACAAAATCTAAAACCATGCCCACAAGGCCTGCCATTTGAGCACAGCTGAAATTTAAGCATTAAAATTTATAATATACAAGTGATTTTTTGGCATGGATGAAAAAATAAGTCTTTGAGATATTTATGGTGTGATTTCTCTAAAGCTATGACAAACATTTTTGCAATTTTTGCAACTAGGGCATTGTTTTTCCTTTGGACCAGCTTGCTCATTTTGGTTGTTATATTCACAATGTTTTGACCTCTCGCTGTTTTCAGAGGCTTGTAGTACTTGATAAGCTTCTTGGAATTTTAAACCGACAGAAGTAAATTCTTATTAGGCTTTCCATACTTAGGTAATATTTCATATCAATTAGTTGTATTTAAGTAGGTACCTCCACGAAATCGCTAAAAAAAAAAGAGCATAGTCTGATGAAAAAGACGCCAAACTTTATGAAAACAATTTTATCGTCTAAATGCTTATGTTTTTATGAAGAGGAAAGACCAAAGTTTGTTTTTATTTTTTTTTAAATTTTTCCTTCTTTTTAGAACGTTCTAAATTTTGTTTAAAAAAAACTTGTTTCTCTTTGTACCAACCGGAACTAGTAAATAACATAGACAATTTTTAGCACATGGCTATTACACACATTAATTTGGAAAATCTTGCAAAAATAAAAATAATTGTCGGATGTTAATGAAACTTTCAGAAACTATTCACAGATGATCAAAATTATTATAAATATGGTTCTTTTTATTAAAGTCATGACAGAAATATGTTGTTTTATATTTATTAACACCCCCATAACTAATTTTATGAAAAACTCTAGAAATTCGATCGCATTAACTTTAGTGATTACAATAGTTAAAAGCACAAGGCTTTGAAGAATGTAAATCATGTTTGTTTTTTTTGTTTTTGCTTTTTTTTTTTTTTTTTTTTTTTTTTAATTGGATCCGCAGTACCTGAAAATCGCCTCTGAATCGTGACATACAAAACTCAATAAAACAAAGATACTATTTAATTTCAAATGCTTTTATTTGTTTTTAGTTGTTTTTATGAATATGGACAATATTTTCTGAAAGCAAAAAATTTTTTCAATGAAAATTGAATTTTTAATACAATTATTTGTTATTTCTTTAATTATAATAGATTTTTACATTAAGTTTTTTAGTTAAAAGCCACATCAATTTTTCTAAGTGTCCTTATGAGATTGTCATTGTCTAGCACTTTGAAAATTGTATTATTTGGACCAATCAGAAGATCCACAGTAATTAAGAAATGTAATTTTGTGTTTATAATCGGGCAGTAATTATAAAGTACGGAAGACCAACCAGAATACAATTAAGTTGCATTATTTGAGTTAAGCATTGTTCTCCGCTGTTAAGGCCTTTACTTTTGCGAAACACGTATGGAGAAGTTAATTTGATTTTTCAATTTCAACTGAGAAGGGTACCTACAAGTATCAGTATCATCTTATGAAATTTAACTGCTGCTAAACTTCAATTTATATGATCTTATTTTTATATCAATCTCAGTAATTACATTTTTCCATAAATGAAATATCAAAATTAATAATAAAATGGAAATACAAATAACACAGTAAAATGCAATAAATATACATAAAATTATAGTATTTTATGTACACGTCTGATAAAATTTCCTAAGAATGGTACCTATAAATTAGATACATTTCTTATGAAATTTAATCTCACTCTTAAGTCTTATTTTTTAATTTCTTTATAATATATTTTCCATAAAGCATCGTAAATGTAAAGATGAAAGCTAAGTACCAAAAAATATTAAAAAATTAGAGCGCTGAAAGATTTCCTTAAAAGTAACGAGGTAAATAATTGGTTCACTTAAATCTAAATAATTTCACTTCCTCCCATCCGTAGAAAGAATTATCCTTCCATAAGTTATCTAAACATCATGAAAATGTCTTTCGTCATCTGTCAAGTGACGCGAAAGGTTATGACCTGCTTTGTTTTATTTTCAAATTACATTTTTTCAGCGCAGAAGCTAAGCTAAGCTAAGCTAAGTTAAGCTTGATTCAAAATATTTTAAATAAACATTATAATTTCTGATTCTATTAAAATAAGTTTTGAAAAAATGATAATTGATTTTTAAAAGAATATCAAAGTGAGATTTTCATCTTTTTTATAAAATGGAAAAAAAAAATGATTGAAAATGATGGATTATCTGTCCCTTTCTTTTAACGAAAATTTCGGACATGCTAGGAATGATTAAAAAATGTAAAAAGAATACCCCAAAAATACTTTGATCCTTCCTCTTTAATAATAATAATATGAACATTAAACAATAAAATTTTGTTTTCGTCAAGTTCGGCGTCTTTTTCATCATGCTCTGCTCTTTTTGTTTACATTTCGTAGAGGTACCTATATTTAAGGGATATCTTGTTTCCTGGCAGTTGTGGATTCAATCCCTTGGTCAAGCAGTGCAGAAAAGTTATATATTTTTCTTTCTTTTTTTAAAGTGGAAAAAACGGACAAACAACACAATGGCAAATGGACTCTAGGGTATAAGAGGTGTGTGTCAAGACAGCAATTAATAGAGTGTTAGTTAAGAGAAATGGTGTAAGATTCCATCAGGCTACATGTTGTTTTCATGACCAGGAAACCTGGACCAATAAATGATTTTACATTCTGTATGTGTGCTTATTTAGAAATGAATAGATTGTAGACATAAATTGCTTTTTATCTTTTTTTTTTTTTTTTTTTTTTTTGTAACCTATATATAGATCCTACAGCCGTTCAAGAAGTCCAGAGAAGATCCCCAGATCAAGGGGTGGGCACAGTTCTTTGGACATACCCAAAAGAGAGCGTTATCATGATCGATCTGAGAGCCACTCAATGAGCCCGCCAATCCTACGGCAAAGATTATTGCGTGATATGGATGGCATTGAAGGAAGTGGAAGACACTACTCTCCTCGTAGTAGGTCAATAACTCCTGATGATGATCGCAAGTATTCATCCCGTTCAAGAAATGATGTTGTTGATGATGACAGAGATGACCAATCTGAAATAAGTGAACGGTCTCTTCCACCGAGAAAAGAAAAGCTGAATATAAAGAACAGCCATTCACGTTCATCCAGTTATGATGGTTCTGATCTGGAGACTGGTGAAATTAGTGATCATCCCATTAGCAAGTCACATAACATGAAGCTAAACAGGTAAATGTGAACAAGTTTATATTACTGTTTAGTATTGCAAATCTGTCAACAAATCTTGAACATAGGTTGAGAAATCTCTTATAATTAAATCTTGACATTCATTTGTCCCTTCACTGTATTACATTTTTGACTTATTAAATAATATTTAGGTTTATTCTGTTATTAAAAAAATATTAGTGGAAGTAGTAAAAATATTTTACTGCTTTTCTTCCCAGTAATGTTATATATTTATATTTAGACATAACTAAAATTTCTTAACCTATTTTTGTTGTTTTAGAAATTAGAATACTTTTGAATCTTAAACTAGTCATACAAACTTATCACCTTCATCTTGCATATGAATATATAATTTAAGCATAACAAAGGCTTTGAGAAGATCTGGGGAAGAAATATGGCTTAAAAGAATAAACTGTCAGTAGTGCTAACACCAACACCACCACCTCACCCCAAGGCCATCACTTTCAATGCCCAAATTATAGAACTATCAATTTGATCAGTTATCCAAATAAGGTAACAGTGCATTTCTCTTTTCTCTTTAACCTGCTTCTAGAAAGAATAATACAAGAGATACTTCGAAACCACAACACCTTTCTCCGTCAGTATCAGATCAGCCTGCAACATCCAACTGGCAGATGACATCAAATATATTCCAGTGTTTAATGGTTTCATCTCTCGTTAGCATGTGAATTAATAATTTAGCATTTAAGCAGATATTTTTCTTTTTTAAATCATTTCACCCCAAGCAAGGCAGTAAAGCCACTAAGATACAAAGAGTTATGTAGTGTGAAAGAATTTAAGAAAAGAAAAACATTAAGGCAAAAAAAAAAAACACTAAAAGAACAGGAATTAAGACAGAAGATAACAAATGACATTGCATTTAAATTTTTGAAGATCAAAATTGACTGGAAAACAAGCCAGAAGAGTTCCGCAAGCAAGAGAAGAAACTGTTGGCATAAAAATTATGGTTGTATCTATCCATTTCTACTGTATGTTGATGTTGTCAACTTCAGATTCAGTGCTGTGCGAATAACATTTTAACAGTTTCAAATAATTTATTTTTTGATTGATTTATCTAAATTCCACCAAAGTGTTTTTGGTTATGCTAAACCTATCTATTTACATATAACAGCGGATTGTGTGCATCAGTGTTTTCTTTGCATCATTATAGAGGTTTTTAATTTATTGCCAATTAACTTTTATCAAATCTTGCTTGCATCTTTACATGTATCTCTTAGATAAATCGTTTGCTATATTGATCTGAATATAGCAGTTATGATAGGTACCTTCATGAGATTGCTAAAAACGGAGCATAGCAGGATGAAAAAGACACCAAACTTGACGAAAACAAAATTTTATCGTCTAAATGTTTGTTATTATTAAGAGGAAAGATCAAAGTATTTTGGGGGTATTTTTTTTACATTTTTGTAATCGTTCCTAGCATGGCTGAAATTTTTGTTAAAAAATTTTTTTTTGAGTCAGCAAAATTGACCATTTTTTCCCATTTTATAAAAAAAAAACTGGAAAGCTCACTTTAAAATTCTTTTAAATATCAATTATCATTTTTTCAAAACTTACTTTAAGAAAATCAGAAATTATGTTTATTTAAAATATTTTGAACAAAGCTTAACTTAGCTTCTGTGCCGAAAAGATGTAATTTGAAAATAAAACAAAGCAGGTCATAAACTTTCGCATCACTTGACAGGTGATGAATGACATGTTGACGGATTCCGTGAGGCTAATTTGTTCTACAGAAGGAGAAAAGTGAAATAATTTACATTTAAGTGAACAAATTATTTACCTCGTTATTTTTAAGGAAAACTTTCAGCGCTCTAATTTTTTTTTTTTTTTTTTTTTTTTTTTGGTACTTAGCTTTCATCTTTACGTTTACGATGCTTTATGGAAAATATATTATAAAGAAATTAAAATAAGACTGTTAAGAGTGAGATTAAATTTCATAAGAAAGGTATCTAACTAATTTATAGGTACCTTTTTATGAAATTTTATCAGAAGTGTACATAATACGATTAATATAAAAATAAGATCATCTAAATTTCATAAGATGATACTGATACTTGTAGGTACCCTGCTTAGTTAAGATTGAAAAATTAAATTAACTTCTCCATACGTGTTTCGCAAAAATAAATCTATATCTCAAATGGACATTTACGAAACTGAATGTGGCTTTAAACTAATTTTAAAATATTTTAACAACTTAAATGTAAAAATCTATTATAATTAAAGAAGTAACAAATAATTGTATTAAAAATTCAGTATTGAAGTTAAATACTAGACAGAAACTCAATCCATGTGACTGTTTTTTTTTTTTTTATTGCACGCATGATACTTCCGGTCTTCCGTAGATTTGATTTACAGTGTTGTTATTGACACAAATTATATTTTTTTTATATACTGTTTGTTAGTTTGTAAAAAGCTTTGGAAATTATAATCTGTAAATATATATCTACTTAATAACAACATTCGTTAAATTTTACAAATTTTCCCCTAATTTTAGAAGAATTAACAACATTTAATATAAAAATAATAAAATATTTCAGAAATAACAAATAATTGTTTTAAAAATTAATTTTTCATCAAGATATCTTTTTGCTTTCAGACAAGTGTCCATGTTCATTGAGTTTTGTATGTTGCAATTCAGAGACGATTTTCAGGTAGAGGTGGTCCAACTAAAAAACAAAACAAAACATGATTTAGTTTCCTCAAAGCCTTGTGCTTTTAACTAATATAATCACTAATCTTCCCAAAATTGAAATTATAGAGTTTTCATACAATTAGTTTGGAGGGGGAGTAATACATATGAAAAAAAAAAAAAATTTCTCCCATGACTTCAATAAAAAAAAACATCCATCATTTGTGAATAGTTTCTGAAAGTTTCATTAACATCCGACAATTATTTTTATTTTTGCAAGATTTTCCAAATTAATGTGTCATACAGAAAAAAAAAACATACTAAAATTTTATGTTATTTTACTAGTTCCGGTGATACAAAGAGAAACAAGGTTTTTTTTTTTTTTTTTTCATCAAAACTTAGAATGTTCTAAAAAGAAGGAAAAATTTTTAAAAATAATTAAAATAAACTTTGATCTTTCCTCTCAATAATAACATAAGCATTTAAACGCTAAAATTTTGTTTTCGTCAAGTTTGGTGTCTTTTTCATCCTGCTATGCTTTGTTTTTAGCGATCTCATGAAGGTATCTAAGTTATGAGAACAAAGAAAAATAGGCAAAGTTTTTTCATAAAGTAATAACTATTACTAATGCTAAACTTTTCTAGCTATTTTGTTCTTTACTTACAGGTCACCATCTCCAGATAGATGCCATCAAATGATGCCTCTCTCTCACTCACAAGGTTCAGGAATGTACAATAGATCTGATAGTGATGATGACAAATAGTGTCATTTATTTGGAGTCCTACATAAATAAACATGTAGATTTTTTTAATCACATGCCATGTTAATTTTCTTGTATTTTACACTCTTCTTTTGCTCCTTATCAAGACTTTTCAATAATTTCTTTGCTAACACATTACTGCTACAAATGAAGATAATTTTCCTGAACATTCCTATAAATATTAGTTGCTATCCTTTCTTGCTTCCAAAAAGTTTTAAATATAATTTTCTTTAGTTTTTATCCACTTATTCAGTATATGCACAAAGAGCTCCTCTTAGTTATATTTTTATATTTCTTATTAAATCAATAAGAACTGTTCATTTTATTTTAATATGAAATTGATAATTTGTGAAGTAATTTTTAGATAGAAAATACATTTTTCCACAGGAGAATGATCTTTACATTCTTTTTTGAAATGTGCATGGACTTTTTTTTTATTTTTTTATTAAATTTTTCACTCACCTTAAACTAGATCTGTGACTCCATTAAGTTTTAAATATGACAACAAAAATTATACAAAATGTTTTTCAGTCTAAAGAATTCATAAAGTTTCAAGCTACCAATTGATGAGCAAGCAATTTTTCTTGATTCACAATTAGATTGTGTGTGTGTGTGTGTATGCATGTGTGTGTGCACATTGACCCATAAATTCAGTTTTTTTTGTTTTTTTTTTGAGTACTTAGTACTTTGCCACTCACATTAAATCTGGTAAAATTGACTAAATGGTTCAAGCTTAAATGTTTTGTTTTTTTTTTTTTTCTGGTGAGTAATCAAAATATATATATATATATATATATATATATATAAATAAACCATCTGAAATTTGTGAATAATTAAAAACAAATAAAACTGATCCCAAGCAATATACTTGTTGGTAATCCCTATCTTAATAAGCTAACAACATATTTGAATTGTGATATTCTTGTTCATTTTTAATATTATGGAAGGAAGATGGAAATGCTTAATGAACACAAACAAAATGGCTGAAACATCATGGGAACTAATTTAATGGGTTATATGCTTGTATAGTAAGTTTTGTCTTTATTAAATAACCAACATTTACTATCAGTTTCTACATTATGTAATGCTTAGTTTAACTTAAGCTTGCTGCCAATAAAACCTTATGGTAAGAGAGAGAGTGAGAGATCTACACCTACACTATTCTTTAAAGTTTAGAACTTGCTGTTTATTTTGATTTCATGTACCTAGTCATTTAATATATCAGTTTATTGTCTGATAAGTTTCCATGTATGCAGCAATTGTCAGATACAAAAAAAAAATGGGTTGATTGTTAAGTCAGATTTATTAAAAAATTCAAAGCATTATTTCTGTTGCAGACAAAAATGAGAGAAACAAACTGGATATAAAAATTTAACTTTTATTATGCCAACTAATTTATAAAATACAAAATTGGTACCTTTTTTAAAATAAATGTAACAGCCAAAGCAACAATGAAAATATTTTAAATTTCAAGCAATTGGACATGTACACTTAACAGAAGACAGAATTACCTATGATGATAAATTAAAACACTGAAAATCTGAAATTGAATCCCATCTCAACTCTTCATGCAACACTTTGGAGGGTTATTTCTTTTAAAATCTGCAATTGTTGAGGGAAGTGTTCTTTTACAATCTAGAAAACTAGACATAAATACTAACAAATGTGATACTAAGAACAACTATAGATATAACACTATTTAAGGATATTTTTAATTTAAATAATCAGTATCATTAAAAAGAAAATGATTAAATGCAATTGAAAACATAATTCTTTAATCTAACAATGAAGGTCATGTGTAAAGAAAGGATCTAAATGCTAGAACAGATCTCTTACTAATTACTATACAACTTTAATTGTGACTTTAATTGCCCTCCCCATTTCCCAACAACTGGTTTGTGATAGAGAAACTTAATTTGAATAAACATAAAATAAGACGAATATAAAAAGTAATTCAGAGTTTGTTTTATTCCATTGTCTGAAACCTTTTCAATATATGTACCATGAAAACTTTGTCTTAATTTTGCAGGCAATGCTAGAAAGTTAAATTTTTATATTTAAAATTATATATGCTCCCGGGAAATCCTGTTGAGTTCTCGTGAGAAAAGAGTAATTTTAAAAACGGTGGCTTATACCACTATTAACACATTGCTCTTCAACTGAATTGAGCTCTCCGGGCCACTGCTGTATTTTGCATAGAAAATGTTAAAATTCCCTTCCTCTCTTCTGTCTGATGACAGCCCAGGGGCAGAATCTCTGACTGATAACAAATTGGCCGGGTTTCAGTCCCAGCTTGAAGCAATCAGATGAAGAGTTGTGAAACAGTCTGTCTGTATCACGCACACGTGTGTGTGTGTGTGTATATATATATATATATATATATATATATATATACATATACACACATTACATTAGGTGTGTATGACTAGTATTTCCACATACACAGGCATATAAGTGTATGTGGGAGGTGAAAATGCAAGTATGAATCCACTGCTTTTACTGGTAGTGGGGAGGAGAATGTTGGTAAAGGAAGCAAGTACAAAATACTTTCATGCAGGCACAGTACCCCCCCCCCCAAAATGGAGGGTACCACTATTATTAACATTGGCAAAATAGTCACACATTTCATAAGTGTCATCCAACGGCAAGGAGTATGGAATAATCTTGATTGCTGTTGTTCTCAGGGTGGTAGTTCAAATAGTGCCCCCACCCTATCAAAACACCAGGAAAGTATAAAATAGATTTAAGTATTAATAACCCAGAGGTTGATATGCTGTGAAACTAAATCAACCAAAGCAAGTGTCCATTGCTTCCCCCACCCCTCCATGTTATGCAATCAAGAGGTGAAGATTTCCCTGTGTTACACCATTTTACAAATACCTCTCAACTCTTACAGTAAAAACATTTCCAAAGTGAAATTCCATTACAGTAAATCTCACAATTTATATTTTATGATTAAAAGAAAACTGAAAGAACACTTAACATTTTATATTATTTTTAAAAAAAAAAAAAAATTTTTTTTCTTACACAAAGTATGAAAATGATCACTCACTCTTTTTTAGTTACATGTGATTATTCTTATTTGATGTGCCAATTAGTCAAGTATGAACAACATCAGCCCTTAAGTTTATAAGTTAAATGTATTGCAGAATTTTAAAGAAAATGTAATTGAAACCAATGCATTTTTTTTATGTCAGTTAACTATAGAGCAGTTCCTTAAGTTAAGAAACCTGTTTAAACTTTTACAAAAAAAAAAAACATTAACACAAGTTGTCAATAAATGAGTTTTGGTTAAATTTGAATCATATTATTGGTGCTTTTGGTTATAAAAATAAACAAGTGGATTTATTCTTCAGTTGTCTCACTTGTGGAATCCATCTGATTGTGGTGATTTTTTTGTAGAAAAAAAAACACCTTGATCATGAAAATGAAATTGCTATAGGGAAGCAAGAATAAAATACAAAACTTTGGCTTTGAAGATTGGCATATTTTAATTTATAGGATTTAGATATCCATTAAAATATGATCATATCAGTGTTCCATAGATGCATAACAGTTTTGGTGAGAATATCAAGAATCAAAAGAAAAACTTTCAAATTATTCAGACTGATTTGAATGGTTTGCTCTCTCAACAAGATAACTGCAATGGTGTTGAGATGGAAAGTCCTGCATGTAGCACATTCCCCAGACATTTTTCCTTCTATGCAAAAAGGATCATCTTTAGCGTAAGGAAGACAAAACTAGTCACAGCCATTCCAACAAAAGTTAACTATAAAAAAAAAAAAAATCACTGAATCATAAGGGAATTTTTTTTATTTTCCTGAGAAGTGGTATTAGTAATAAGAACTTGGAATTAGACAAATATTTAAAAAGCTTTTAAGTCTTAGTATTCAATGATATATATGTATTAACTATTCAATAGATTAGATTGAAAATAGTATTAATTCCTAAATAATGTGTAGGAAAATGTATTAAAATTGTATTTAGCTTCATCTCACAATGACACCAACATTCAAGTGAAAAATAATCTTTACCAAAAACATCATTTTTAGAAATCCTGAGGAATACTAAAACTTATTACCACCTCTTCCATTTAATGTGTTTTCCCAGCATTGTTAAAGATTTTTCCAGATTTCACTTGGTTCAGCAATTTTAATAAAAATACTTTGTCTTGTCCTTCCTGCAATAATAAAAGTTTAAAATCAATAGCAATGTTAGCCATCCTTATCTAAAAGGCTAATTAGTTTTACAACTCTTAACTAAATCTATTTTCCTTCAACATATTTTCTACTTGAAAATTACCAAATGAATGGTAATTGGCTTTAGTAATCAATTTCTTTAGACCCCATTACTGAAAACTTGGAAAAAACTGCATGTAGATAAACAAAAAGCAAGGAATTCTGTTGATATTTCACTGTTTACATAGTCAAACATTTAATCAAATTTCAATCATCTCCAAAAGTAATTTAAAATAAAATTACTTTTGCTAAAATGGAGAAAAGTAACATTAAAAATGCTTCATGCATATAAAGAAAACTATACATGACTAAAGCTGTTATTTCAGTGTTTATTTCAAGCAAAAAGTATTTTCCAGAACTTCATTATTTTAAGTAGATTGAATCAGTATAAAACTTACAAAAATTTTTTTTTTTAGCACCAAAATATACAGATTTTTTTTTTTTTAAAAAGGTGCCATATTTATAGCATTGCTTTTGTAGTAGATATACTTGCTAATAAAAAGAGCCATCTACATTTATGAAAATGATTCATGAAACTTTTCCACAATTTGAAAAAAATTTAAAAATGTTTTATATTAAAAGACGCTACACCATAGTCTTCATTTTAAAGATGATCATTAGAAATGAGTGATTTTGAGTATTTCTTTTCCTAAAGTACTTGTACATCAAAGAAATATTTTAAAATTTTCATATTCAAGGTTTGTCCTGGAAAGAATTTAATATTAACTTTTAGCACTTTGTAGGCAACTATTTTCCCCAAGCAAAATGTTAGTCTTGCCAATGCAATTTAAATTTCTTGGTTGCATAGTCATGTCCTTCTATGGCAACCCCTAAAACATTCTTGACCGAAATTGAGAGCCAGATTACTGCAATTTCAAATATATAGAACTAATATATAAAACAATATATTTTAAAGATATTCCATATGCAGTAAAAGAGGAAGTAACATTTCTATATAATGCAGAGTGCTAAATGTTAACAAAAAACTGTCTACCCATGTAAAGGGCATCTTAGTCCTCTTTAAAGAGGCCTTACAGTCTTATTCCACTTTTCAAAACTATATTTCTGTTATACCACCATGTGATAATCATATTCTTAATTACATACACTATATTGCAATGACAATTTTAGTTTTGTGAAAAACTGAAAATCAGAGATGGGGTTTGAAAAAAAAAAAAAAAAAACTACATCTATTCCTCCTGTTATTGTGAATGCAATGTTTACTCAATGGCATTTCACTGCCAAGTGAGTTGCTGCATGGGAGAGTGTTCAATGTATGTGCAGTACAGTTATACAACTTATGCAGATCTGTTCAGAATATATGCAGCCATCATTTTAAATATGCAGAACAAGTTTCCAATTCTAATTCTCAATCTCTAAAACTTATTCAAATCTGGTTAATCATTCATGCAAAGTTTTTAAGCATCTCTAAAATTCAATTTCATTTTACAAAATAATAAGGGCAATAAAATAATAGACTCTTACCATTGCTAATTGATATTTCAGTAGTTTTACCATTTCTTTGTGACCAATTAGCACAATACGGGAGTAGTAGGCAGATATACTGTAATAAATAAAAACATTTTTATTCCAGACATTGTTAAAAACCAACTATTACAGAAATTACATTATTATGTAAAATCTTAAGTTACATAATATTCCAAGTTATCTAGTCATTTTGAAGAAAATTTGCTAAAAACACAATTTGAATTCTTTATTTTTTTAACGGGGATATTTTAGTAAAATATTTACCAGAGAGTTACAAGAATAAGTGTTATGAATCCAGGTTTGGAAATGAATTCCAAAACATCTTGTAAGAACTCTGCAGCGCCCTTTGATGAAATGACCATATTTAACACAACATCATAAGCAGATTTAAAGTTTCTGAAAGGTCCACACTCTATACTTGGTTGACTACTGAAATTAATAAAAAATAATTAGAAATAAATTTTAATATTGGAAAGGTCTTTTTTTGTTTTTAAAAAAGAAAAAAAAAATACACTTTTGTGTAAATTTTTTTTTAAAGATAAGTGTTCAAAATTTAATCAAAATCGACTATCTTTACCATTTAGAATGAAAAAATAGCTTTACTGCTCTAATTTATAACTATGCAGTGAATCAATGACATGCAAGTGAATTTACTTTTTTGTCTGTCTATATTTCTGAGATGAGGTATTATGTACATTATTTACATTATTCGGACTATTGTCCTCATCTTTGTCGCCATATTTATCAACGTTTTGGCCGTTGTATGCTCCGGCCTTCTTCTTCAGGTGGTTGGAATGTCAAACTGAACCCTTTATTTCGCTCACGGGGGTAGACTGTTCTAGTTCCACATGCCATGTTTGATGGATGTCAGTTATCAGTTATCTCCTGTTAATTTCGCAGTTCTCCACTGCCTTACCCGGGTACTGAACTCACACTCTTTGGGTCCTGTCACTGGATCTAACCAACGCCTTTATCCATTAACAGGAGATAACTGATAACTGACATCCATCAAACAAGGACACATGGCACAGTGGATAAAGGCATTGGTTAGATCTAGTGACAGGACCCAAAGAGTGTGAGTTCAGTACCCGGTTAAGGCAGTGGAGAACTTTCAGAGGGAAATTAACAGGAGATAACTGATACCTGACATCCATCAAACATGGCACGTGGAACTAGAACAGTCTACCCCCGTGAGCGAAATGAAGGGTTCAGTTCGACATTCCAACCACCCGAAGAATGCTGGAGCATACAACAGCCAAAACATTGTGATAAATATGGCGACAAAAGATGAGGACAATAGTCCAAATAATGTAAATAGTGTACTTTTTTTTGTCATCATTTGAAAGGCAATCGGATCAGTGTTTAATAAAGTAGAAAATGTTTTAATTCAATTTAGTTTTATTTTGAAAAAAATCTAGAAAGCAAGACAAAATATTTCAAGAAATTTTAAAATAACATGTCATTAATTGAGGTAAATAAATAAATTGCTATTCTTGTATCAATATTAACAAATTATTAATAATTAATAACTGAAGACAAAGAAAAATCCAGATATTAGAAATGACATTCAAACAGATTTAGAATTCTTGTAAACAATTTTGAAAATCATTTTCTTTTTTAATTTCATGGTCAGTGCCTGAATACAAAATAGTAGAAATATGTTTGACGTGATTTATCCAAACAATTCTCTACTGGATTAACAAAGGAGTTAATTACATAAAAATTATAGATTATTTCACTCATTAGCTTTTAAAATATTGAAATAGCTCTTGCTAAACTGAGGAATAATAAACGTACAATACAATGCTGACAGCAACTGTGGTGGCAGTCAGAACAAAGAACACTAACAAAAAAAAAAGAAAAATGGTGTGTGTTCGTGCTGCATGCCAAGCTTTCTTGGATGTTTGGCAGGTTTTAAGTACGCTCAACTGAAAAGACAATTAAAAAGAACTAATTTTCAGCTGCCAATACTGGAAAATAAAAATAGCAAATTATGATTATTTAACATAACAGTCCAATTCTCAAGGTTTCGTTCTTCAATTTCAACACTGATTTTTTTTTCCAATACAATATTTAATTAAATGAGGATGAATAAAAAAAAAAAAAAAAACATTATCCTAATTTTCTGAACAAAAATGTAAACTGAATAAGAATTTACAGAAATCAAAGCCAATTTTTATTAAAGGAAATTATTTTCCTTGATTTTTCATGGTTATTTTTATTTATGTACATGACAACAAAACATCTATTTAGACTAACTCCGATGTACATTAAAATCAATAAAGAGGAATCAATTGTCCCATCGAGGATTAACAAGAAAACAAGCTGCTAAATTAACAAGTTTAATAAACTTTTCTCTTAAATATTCATCAACAGTGACAAATACTTACAAGCATTGATTTTCTCACCAGCAAATATCAATTTTCAGCAAATCATAATACACTTACCCACTTAACATAAAATATGATGAAAAGTTTTACAGCCATCAGTAGTGGCATTAGTGGGGAGTAAAATAAGCCAAGCCTGAAAGCAGAATAGAAACATAAATAAATATAAAGAGACAGTCTGAAATCACTAAAGCACCAAAAACAATTTGCTTGAATATTGAATCCAATAGATATAAGATTGAAGTTTACTTTTATTGTACAGTGAAAAGCAATTTTAGAAAGTTTAAATTAAGAAAATAAAACAAAAAATAATCTTCAAAAAAGTAAAACTATCAATGTAAGGCAATTCTTGAAAATAGCTACTTAGGTCATGTTTTGTTAAAATTAGTCTAAGATTTTTCTTGTTTGTTAGATATAATAAAGCAAATGACAAAAATCAAATCAAAAAATAGATTTCAATTTTATGTAAAAGAGTCGTCAACATTTTTCACACTTTCCTTCAAACAGTGAAATAAGTCCCTGGCTTTATTTACATTATTCAGACTATTGTCCTCATCTTTGTCGCCATATTTATTACAATGTTTCGTCCGTTGTACACTCCGGCCTTCTTCGGGTGGTTGGAATTTCAAACTGAAACCTTTATTTTGCTCACTAGGGTAGACTGTTCTAGTTCCATGTGTCATGTTTTTAATGGATGTCATTTATCAGTTATCTCCTGTTAATTTCCCTCTGAAAGTTCTCCACTGTCTTAACCAGGTATTGAACTCACACTCTTTGAGTCCTGTTACTGAATCTAACCAATGCCCCCATCCACTGTGCCATGTGTCCTCAAGGCCGAAACGTTGTAATAAATATGGCGACAAAGATGAGGACAATAGTCTGAATAATGTACATGACACCTCATCTCAGAAATATAGACAGATACTGAAGTTCCTGGCTTTCCACTTAGGATTTCATACCAATCTAGCTTAGATACCAATAATAAAATTTCAATATAAAACACGTTGAAACATTTATCCCACTAATATGACCATAGAAAGAATATAGAATATACATATTTACTATCTGAAAATTAGATCTTCATTGATATTTTAAATTCATAGGTATGACAATAAACTGCATCCAGTAGCAAGGCGACTGATCAAGTTATTGAACATTTTAAAGAGCATGGAACCACCTTTTAATTGTTGTTGTTGTTCCCAGGGTGGTAGCACCTGTTTAGATCCCAGCTGTGGGCAAATAGTTAACCTCCAAACTGGGGTCAAGGTGTGGAAATGCATTTTTATAGTGAAAATAAATCTTGCCACAATTTGGGTGGCAGTAGGCTTCAGTAGCAGTCTTCGACAAACATGTCCTGGTACAGTTGCCACAGTGGTTCAATGAAAGAGCCACCCTATGTGGACAATGATGAGGTGTGAGGATGGCGTATTTCTCAAATGCTGCAAAGATTTGAGTTGGGATGTTAGCTAGGAAAAGCAGTCCCATGAAACTTTGAGACTAATAATAGGGCTGGTTCTCTGTGAGAACAAGCTGACTGCGGCCTACCCCAATCACTGAGAAACCTTCAAAGCTCCAGATAAGCAAGCAGCATTCATGCATTTATAATTTGTTGTCACCTTAAGAGAAATGAACCAACACCAGTGTAAATTATACTTATATACATAGATTTTTGCATAAATTTATAAACTTATATGACGTTGTTCCAGGTCACAGCCTCCAAGTATGACGGTACTCAGGGTCAATCCCGGTCTGATCACTTGGTCAGGATCAATCCTGATATCAGAGAATAAGCCATCAGCCCACTCATCGGTCATTGATGGCATTTGACACAGCAGCTGGTCTTTAAGTTGACCTCTTCAACTGTGACCTCTCTTACCCACATTGTGATTTTGATCTTAAGAGGGTCAAGCCGAATTTCCACTGGGGTATCTTAACCACGCTAAACCAGGGAGTTAAACACGTGCATACAAAATTGAAAAATGAAATGGGCGATGCCCAAATAAATCACGATATGTTTATATCAGATTAAAAAAAATATTTATAGTTCTTTCTTTGGTCTTTTTCTTCTTTTCCCAACCCATTCTAATAACTGGCGATGGAACGAAAATTGCAGGTAGCTTCTTTGAAGAGTGGCCAGACTGGACAACTGGATTTATCTTCAAGTACTGTGATTTGTACTTTCCAGTATGACACAAGGATTTCGTCGGAGTCTTTCTTCAGCAGATAATTAATATTATTCTTTTCATCAGGTTGGCAAGCAGTGTTATATCAGAAATCTCTTAACTCTGGTCGCAACCTCACTGCAACTGGCTGGCCCCCAACTAACTTTGGCCCACATGGGCACTTGTATTTATGGGTGTCCCTTTCAATTGGTGTGGTGCGGGCGAATAGGTGGGTTTTATGCAAATCTCCCGAAATTCAACCAGTCATTTTCTTTCATTTTCTATTTCACGTTTCCAATTTTGGAAGATCCCCTCCTTCAGGAGGAGCCATTATATGATGTCAGCCTTGCTGACATCATCTTCTGCCTTTACAATTGCTCACAATTATAATTTTTTCTCAGGGAAATTTTATCAGCTAAAATTTCCCATTGACACCTTTCAGCAGACTACTTTAACCTCTGGCCCCTGACCTGCCAGCTGTGTCTAGCTGAATCACGTTGTGTAACTTTTTCAACAAAATTCATACATTTGTTCCCATATCCTGGGAAAATAATTCTCTTTATGACAAAAAATTAAAATCGTTTTGTTTTAACCCTTTTTGTCTGTATGCCATGTTAAATATTGTCACATATCCTGTCATTTACCTGTAATTGACATTTCAAACTCCAGTACACTATTTAACATGCTCTACTATTCATGCACTATTTCTCATGCACTATAAAATTTTCACATGCAATTTAAAAAGTTCTCTTTTCTTCTTCTGTGTGTACCTGCAATTTTTCATGCACTATAATACGCCTCCCTTTCTATAACTGGCCATCTCTGCTGTGTCTCTGAGAGCTTATGGGATAGGAAGTATATTGGTACTTCCTCTGATATAACAGGCACTGGACCATCCTTATCAGGACATGGCTGAGTAAGGACTGCTCCTATACATCGCTCACTAGCATCCATGTATAGTATCATTGGTTTGCTGAGATCTGAGTACGTCAGCAACAGAACAGTAGTTCTTTCAAGGTATCGAAGGCCTTTTAACAGTCTCCTGTCCATTTAAATCTTGTGTACTTTTTTGTTAAAGGCTATCAAGGGAGTTGCTATCCTAGAAAATGCTGGAATAAAACATCTGTAATATCCTATGGCCCCTATAAAGCTTCGTACCTGTCTCACTGTCTTTGGCTCAGGCATTTCTCGTATCACCTTTACTTTATCCATGTCAGGCTTAATTCCTTCATCACTTACTATAAAGCCTAAATACTTGGTTTCAATTCTTAAAAATTGGCACTTAGGCAATTTCAACTTCAATCCGTGCCTTCTCAATCATTCAAAAACTTGTCTAAGGTGGTCAAAATGTTGTTCTAGTATCTCTGAGAATACCAGAATATCGTCCAGGTAAGCCATAGCAAAACTCTCAATTCCTTCCAGCACTATTGACATCAATTGCTGAAAAATCCCAGGTTCTTTGGCCAGGCCAAATGGCATGACCTTGAATTGGAACAGGCCCATGTGACATGCAAATGCAGCCTTTTTTCTATCAGCCTCATCAAGGGCTACCTACCAATACCCTGACCTTAGATCTATTGCAGAAAAGCTTTTCCCAACAAAGCCAATATATCATCAATCAATGGTAAGGACACAGTTCGGGAGTCATTCTGGATACTCCGTGTCCCTCCTACTTTTAATTGAAGTTTCACCATCCCCTTTATCCTCATAGACCCACCATCCGCTTGGGTGATCTCTATATCAGGTTTTCTCATCTATCCCCAATTCCTCAGTTTCCTATACTCTTTTTCCCCTCAATAACGACACCGACGCTCTAGTGTCTATTAAGGCTTTCATCACCGACCCCACTACCACTACCTTACAAGAGAGCTCTCTCTCATATGTCAGCAAGGAGAATATCTTAAAAGTAAAGGAAGACCTCAAAGTAACAATAATGAAGGACTACTACTACTACCAGCACCCATGGAGAAAAAGAGCTAAGATATTCTCCTCGCTGACACAGGAGAGAGAGCTGAAATATAGATAACTATTATCAAAGAGAAATGAAAGACTGCACAGTAATAACAAATAGAAATTTATAAAAGAAGGTTGTGTATGGAGCCTTCACAAGGCTTCATAAAAATATTTAATATTACAAAAATGATAGTATTTTATCTCACTGCATTGATTCATTCACATAACATTAAATTTCTAAATCAACTACAATTTTACAGGAAAGATCAACATGGACTTTCCTTTGAGGTGAAGAGAGAAATCCTATAATTCTTTAAAATATTCATCCTTAATATGATCAGTCCTAGATAGCAACTATCCATTTTGTTGATTTTAAGTCAAATATGTATATCTATAGTAGAATTTTAAATAATAATTGAGATCGTTCACATTATGGGCTTCCTTATTTCCACAGCAGATAAAATAATTTGATAACTTTTAAACCTTAGATACAAATGAAAGCAAGAGCACTTTACAAGAGATATTCTTTAGAACTCAAACTCTTTTAGAAATCTCCAAATACAAATTTCTTAACATTCTATTTTCTCTTTTTGGCAACTTTGATAAGATTATATTTCTGATAAATAACAATCTAAGTAAATATTTCAAGTGTCACTTATGCATAAAAAATGAATTAACATTTTTCATTAATGAAGTAATCATTCATCTTCTATCAAACCATTCTTACAAAAATCACCTTAGATAACCAACTTTGCTCTCATCTAAAAACTAAAATGTTTAAGTAGTATGCAGTCCACTTTTCTATATATTAAAAAACTGCATTTACATTTATAAATAGGTAAACAACAATTGCTTGCAATCTGTACAATCATATAATTAGATAATTTAATAAAGGACATCAACTAGTTGTTCAACTAGCATGCATTAAAATAAATATGTATAATGAATCCAATGTTTTTTGTAAATTTTTAAAATAACAAAAATGTGGTTAATATTTTGATTTTTAATCTAGAAGAATATTTGAATATTTATCATTTCTAGTGTACATATTTCAATACAGAATGCAATGAAAAAACTTAAGACACATTCTGATAATTAAATTGATATAAATTTTTTTTATTACATGTAAATTTTTATATTAACTATAATGAGAAGAAACAATATTCAATAGTAAGTGTTATATTAAAAAAAAAACTTACCAACAGAGAGCCTGTGAATAAATCAAATCCAAAGTATTTGCAGCTATGTTAAATTCAGGACTTCTTGAAATAATTTTAAAATGATATATCATTCTGTAATGAAACAAGATTTTTGAAGCCAATTAAAATATTTCATTTGTAACAAATTTGATATTAAATAATTACTGAAGTATTAAAGAAGTTTGAATAAATACTCACGCCCAAAATATTTCAAACCATAAGGTGAATAACAAACTGAAGAAGAAATCTACTAAAACCAAACGATAAATATCTTGGCTGATAAATGTTTCCCAACACTAAAAATAAAAAGGGAACAAGTAATTCAGAAATAAATAAAATTATTTTTATTGAAAATATAATTCCATCTGAGAACAAGTCATGAACAAAAACTAACAAAAAAACATGAATTGTTTGCATTTAATAATTTTGATAAGTAAATATAAAAGAGATGTGAAAAATACAATTATGTTCTGATAAGCATTAATGATAGATTCTTTTACAATACAAAAAATGCAATAAAAAAACATTTAAACTTACTTTGTATTCATTTTTTGTTGTATCAATAACTTTCTGGGCCCAGTAGAAACAAAGCATTGAAATATTAGTGACTTTTAGTAACATATTCCTAAAATGAAAAAAAAAAAAAATTTCTCTGTTCTAGCATTAGGAATTCTTTTCTTGAGATTATCAAAAAGTTGTGTTGAATTATTCAATACAAAAGAATCAATGAATGGAAAAAATATTATCAATATATTAACAGACATCCAAAACCAAGCTAGTAATGTTTTTTTTTGTCATCAGGCTGAAATTTACTCCAGGTCATGAAGAATTCTTGTATTCTCAACAAGGTTTGTTGCCACTATTGGGACTGAAACTCAAGTGGAACTCAAATATACAATTCATTGCTAAGAAGGCTGGAAAAAATGGTTGGTTCCTTGTACTGCTCCAGAAAGTATCTGACTCGTCATGTCATGCTCTATCTTTACAAGAGTGAGACCAGACCCAAAATGGAGCATTGCCACCATCTCTAGGCTGAAGCTACCCAATCTACATTTTTCTACCTTAAAAAAAGTTCAAAAGCATTTATACCATTCTACAAATGAAAAGTTGGTTGCCTCTGGCTACTCTGTGGCTATTTCCATGGCAAATGTTCAAAGAAGCTATATTACTTAGTTCCACCTGTTCAAACATTTACAGCATGGTAGAAACATCTTCATTCTCTTGGTAAAGAGGAAGTTCCACTCAAACAACTTCTTTCCAGGAACAATTTCTTTGTGGAACAGACTCCCAAGGGAATACTTTCCCCAATCACTACAATCTTAACCTCTTGAAGTCTTGGGTTAACCATTATCTATCCTACATATCCCCATAATCTGCACTTTTTACCTCCTCCTCCTCTTATGTTCATACAACAGCCTCATTCAGTAATCTTCTACCTTGAGTGGCTTTTGGGTTTTGTATTGGGAGAATATTAAAAAAATATAAACTCATACAGTTGTTCAGTTAGTAATTGTGTGTTTAACATACAACTAAATTCCAATCCTATTTAACAGTACAGTCATTGAAATATCAAATAGTGAACAAAATTTCTAACAAGATAGTTTATTTATTGTAATAATAATTATCTATTCAAATATGGTTTGGTTTGTTTATTTAGCAGCATATCAACTCCTTATAAGTCATTTAATACCAGAATTTTATTTTGTGAGCATTGGTATTTTTTTTTTTCAAAAAATGTATTGCTGGTAATTTTTTCTAATGTATTTCTAGATTTTCATGTTTTGACCCCAGTTTTGGTGTTCACTCTTTGCCCATAGATGGGACCCTAACAGGTGCTACCACCCCAGGTGGGAACAACAGCAATTTACAGCTGGTTCTACACTCTTCAAAAGCTTCCGATCTACTACATCAGCCTTGCTGCCTGATGTAGTTTATCGTCATACCCAGGACAATCTATTCAAGTAAAACATAGAAGAGTAATGGTAGCAGAAAAATAAAATGCATTCAGAGATTGGGAAAGAGAAAAACTGAAATATCTTCTAAGAATGAATTACTACAACCCTATACCTACCAAAGTTGCAGTAAAGTCTCAGCTATTTTAGAACTGGTATTACTACAGCCAAGAATCATCTTTTCTTTTATAAACAAAAAGAGATAACAATAAAAAAATGAATGTCTTATGTTGATGACTACAAGAAAATAAAACAGAAAACTAATGCTGTGCAAATCATTATCCTTCATATTACAAGTACAGAAATTATTTTTCTGTTGACTAAATATGAACTCATTTTATAAATTTTTCTCAATGAGACAAATTACAGTTGGCAAAATATTTAATAATGGCTAGACCATATACCTGATCATTGTAATGTACAAATTTGTCTGCGGCTGATCATATTGCTCCAAATAAGCAATTCCAGAAAAAATAAATGGCAGCAGGGTGTTGGCAGCAGAGATACAAATTGGAACTGTAAGGTCCGCCAGCAGAGGTAATTCAATCTGTTGACGAAAATTCAAAAATAGAATCAGATACTTGGACATCAAATTTATGCTCCTAATACATAGATTATCATTTATTCAAGTGACAGATTGTCATGCAGAATGATCTTGATCATGCAAATAAAATTATTTCAAAAAATGTTAGTTCAAATGCTCATGAATCAACAAATTACAAAGTTTGTCTGGAAAGCAACCAACCATTTTGAAAATAGCAAGAATCAGTTGCATGGCTTGCCAACCACTCAGAGAGGACCTTACTGCAAATAAATAAATACTCTCCTGTGAGGCTATGCAATCAACAGTGTAATGCCATTGAGTGAGATTGTGTATTGTGTGATCATTACAATCACAGTGAAAATGCATCAAGTTTGACTTGAAAGTTGGACATTCATCTAAAAAAACCTTCAAATGATTAAGAAATCTTTCAAGGATGATTCAATGAGCAAATCCAAGATAAAATTTTAATACCAACTCTTCAAACTTGATTGAGAATCTGCTGAAATCAATTCACATTCTAGAAGGCTTCGCAACAAGCAGAACATGAGAATATGCTGAAGCAAAGTAAATTTGTGACTGACATTGCAAGATCTGGGGATTATATAAACTCTTCAGAAAATATCAAACCCATTTTTATTGCCTGTTCTGTAGACAGGGGTTTTTTTGTTTTTTTTTGTTGACCAAATCTTACATCACTCAGCTCTTCAGTCCAGACTTGGAAATTGAGGAGATTTTAGACCATGAACAAGATTAATGACAATCCAAAGATACAACTGATCTTGAAAGAGATTTTGCAGATTGTTTGGAAAAGAAGAATAGATAGTGGGACAAGTGTGCAAAGTCACAAGAGGGACACTTTGAAGGGGACTAAGGTGTCATTGTCCTATATGGGTTATAAATGGCTGCATAGTTTCCAAACATACTTCAAATGTAAAAATTATAAAATACTTTAAAAAATGTATGTTATGCATACAGACATTAATATAGCTTTTATAAATTTCAATCTTTTCAGCTACATTTAAAAAAAAGCGTGACAAACTGAAATTAAAAAAAAAGATTTCATAAAAATGATGAATAATGGGGAAAAAATTTGTTTGACTTGTGACCGTCCCGCGGTGTTGGATCAGCCTTCCGGGAACCAGGACACGAAGGTCCCTCATCCCGGAATGAATTCTTCGTCGACAGCGACAAGGCAAGTAGCTAGAAGCCGGTCTCTGAGTCGACTCCACCCATAGTGAACTCCCTTGCCCACACTGTGAATTTGATCTCAAGGAAGCCACGTGGGTTTTCACTAGGTGTCTCTCTGCCAAGTCGAACCAATCGGGACGCGGACGCACAATTGGGTAAATGAAACGGCACCAAATATAAACAGAACAACACCCAAGTACATTGTAGAAAAGAAAGTCTTTATATACAGAAGAATTCGGAGTACAATCATCAATTGTCTTCTTCCCAACCTCTGTTCCTAACAAGCTGACCACGGAACGGAAGTTTCGACTAATTTCTTTAAGGGGTGATTTTCATGTTTTCTGGTTGGCGTTATTTCTTCACACCGTTCGGAGTTATTGGTTGGTGTTATTTCTTCACACCGAAGCCTCACAGAAACTGACAAAGACTGTCTCTGATAGTTGCGGAGGTTGGCGGGCGGCGGTGTTGGTACTTCAAGCCTCACTCCTCGGCTATTCTTTGGCTCTAACTGAACTGCAACTCAACTCTACTGCAACTGCACTCTTGTTACCCCCTTGGGGCTCTTTATTTATGCTTGTCCATCCTTTACTGGGATGGGGACGACAGTCACTGGGGTCTCCATGCGAACCTCATCTCAGACCCTTGTTAGCCAATGAAATTACGGCTTCATTTCTTTCTGTCTTCTTCCCTCATGACACAGCCAATGGGATAGTGTTATTTCTATGACATCATTCTTTTCGTCTTCTTCCCTCGTGACACAGCCAATGGGATAGTGTTATTTCTATGACATCATTCTTTTCGTCTTCTTCCCTCGTGACACAGCCAATGGGATAGTGTCGTCTTCATGACGTCACTCCTTTTCTCGGCCCTTTCTTTCTTTCCAAAATACCAAATTAGTTTCCCAGGAAAATTCAGTTTTTCTTTTTTTTCATATTTCACCAATTACTATAACCTTTGAACCTGCCATAGATAACCAAATAAGCAATTTCCTTATGACACACTTTATAAATGCGTTTGTTCAAATTTAGAACCTCCAAACCACCTGGCCTGTTTAAATCCTGTTAACAAATTCACTTCCAACTCATTCTGTTGGGAGTCAGAGGGCATCCATTGTTCTGTGTTGACACATTTTTTTGGTTTACAATCCACAGCTGGAAAATGCTTTCTCCTTGATTAAACAGTCCTGTTTCATAGTTGTCATCAACAGTTGATTGACCCCCACAACCTCATCCAATATGACCATTTTAATTTGAGAACACCATGACTCTTGTGATAATTTTACCTCATTAAAAAAAAATATCATATTGGAAACAGAATAGAACATCACCTAATATAATTTTCTTCCGTTTGGTCTCTAATAATCAATAGTATAAACTAATGCAATTTCTTCCATTCGTTCATGCTAAATATTGTTACAGACTCATTTAAAACATTTACACTATTGTAGGCATATTATTTATTTTACAAAATATGAAGGAATATAAAATGCATAATTAGTAGGTACATAAACTTTTTTTTTGTGAATAGATTAAAAGTTAAGGCTATTTAAATCATGAAAAGAATTTCATTGACTAAAAGTATTTGCCATTTTCCGATTTTGAAAATGCAAAAATATTGATGCTGATTAAAGCCTAAAGATAGAAGTTATTTATTTCATTTGATAAATGGAAAACAGTTAATATAGAAAAGTTATTCTGATTTTAATTAACAAGATTCATTTCAATGCAGTCAACAATTTGTTACATTTACATTCAACAAGAAATCTCACCTGTATGTAATAATTAAGCATTTAAATTTTTTAAAAATCACTTATTTAAAAGATAAATAAGATTAGAAAAAGCATTTTTAGCTCTAATATCAGTTGATTTTTTCAAACTTGAAACAAAGGAGAGGCTTTTAGTCATTAATGAATTTATTCAAAACTAAAAAATAGTATTTTTTATTAGCTGGATTGTCAAAAATTATCACTAGTATTTACTTTCAAAACTAATTTCAAGTTTTTGCAGTCACTTGTTGAAATTTATTAATCTTACACTTCACCTAGAGTATTAGTGTTGTACTAATTCACTATATATAATAATCTACTTTCAGAGATTATTTTTTATATTTACAATCATAGACACAATTTTCAGAGGAATTTCAAACAGATATAGATTTCAATAAGCTTTCTTAGCAATCAGCAAAAGAAATAATTTCTCACCCGTTTTGTGTTGGACAAAAAGTAGACAAAATAGCCACTTGCACTAATTAGTGCAAGTACAAGCAGATGGGTAAATAATCTCCAGAAAAATAACCGACATTGTTGGTAGAGTTTTCTTTTCTTGATATCATCTTTAAATTTTGTCAAATTTTCCTAGAAATAAAATAAAAAGGTTTGACAACCCATGAGGCATTTATTATCAAGGAGAAAATAAATGTAAATAGTGCTGTATACTGAAATATTAGTGAAGAAGAAAGATGTGAAAAGAGCATTTTTGTCACTTATTTTTATTTCAGAGTGTATTAATCATTTTCAGGTTTCACAAGTTAGGAGGTAAAAGCATATTCAGTTTAATAAAAAATCTAATCAATTAATTTTAATCTATAATCAATACTGTTAAAGAAGATAGATAAAGGTGAAAAAAATTATGTTCACAAGTAAAGCAGAGTGACAATGACAACCATTTTACAATCAAGGTTTTGATCTTTAATCCAAGTTACACAAAACTCAATGCATATTAATCAGCTCTTGTCAATTGAGTCAAGTCAATTGCTAAATCTACTGCTAGGAAAGTCATTTCAGAATCCATCTTGCACTTTTATAAATCTACCATTCATCCATGCATTGAATTCTGCTGCCACATCTGGTCTGGTTCTTCTTCTATGTATCTAGAGATTCTTGACAAAATCCAAAGAAGAATTTGCAATATTATTGGTCCTGATCTGGCATCTTGGTTTCAGTCACTTTTCCATTGTTGTAATGTGGCTTCCCTATGCCTTTTCTATAAATATTTTCATAGCAATTATTCTGATGAGCTTTCTTTCCTTTTTGGTACCTCAACTTCATGAATGTGTACTAGATTGGTAGCTAGGTCTCATCATTGTACTGTTTAAATAGCTAGTTCTATTCTAATAATTTCTTCTCTCACACTTCTCACCTGTGGAATTCTCTTCCAGCTCCTTGCTTTCCTGTCAAATATGAGCTTTAAAAATTTAAATGCAATGCTGTCATCATCTGTCTTTTTTTGAATCCTTATTGTCAATAATGTTTTCTCAGTTTCTTTCACACTCAGTAATCCCTTGCATCTTATTGGCTTTATTGATTTGCTTAAAGGTGAAATGATTTTAAAAAATAAAATAAAAGGAAAGAAAAGAAAATATCAAAAAGGACAACTCAGAGACAAGACTTTACAAAAGGTTACAATGTCATATGTCCAAACATGAAAATTCATGACATGGAATGTTTTCTTCTTCTATGTATTGTGTCCCTTCAAGACATGAGCAATCATGACTACACAACTTCCTATCCTTTGTAGCTCCTAGTAAGGTTTGTTTTTTTGTTATCTCTCCTAATTCCCGTTCTGCCATCTATTTACACAAGCTCAGTAAGTAGGTTGCTCACTGCTTTCATGTCTTTCTTGCTTCAATTTACCCTGTGAGTATCAGATGCTCTAGGCTCTCTTTCCTGATTATGCATACCAGAAATTTCAGATGTCTCATTCTGATTCTGAGTATAAGTGTCCTTTTTGTTACCAGTTTCCTTAAAAATTCCTCATTACTCACAAGTTCCCAATCACTACAATCTTAACCTCTTCAAGTCTAGAGTCAACTGTTATCTCTCTTACACGACCTCATAAACTGCACTTCTTACCTCTTCCTCTTATGTCCATACAACAACCTCATTCAGTAACCCTCTATCTTGAGCGGATCTTGGGCCTTGTATTGGGTGAACATTCGTAAAAAATGTTCAGTTCATGGGATTTTCAACATCCTTCTTTAGAACTACATTTCTGTTGCTTCAAGTTTCTTCATCTGTGATGAGATTGCCTAACATTCACTGCCATAGAGGAAGACTGATATTACATAACAGTTTAGCACTTTTTTCTTTGTTTCTAATACTTTGCCTGGCTTTTGGAAGTAAAAGATATATTGTTCAATGAGAAGAATGCAGGATCCATACATACATGTACATCCATACATACACATACATGTACCTATATACACACTCCTACATGTACATCCATACATACATATACCTATATACACACCCCTACATGTACATCCATACATACATATACCTATATACACACCCCTACATATGTACACATATATACACACATACACACACAGCTAAGTATACACACATATACATATATATACACATACATACACATACATACATAAACACCTCCATACATACATACATACATATATACACACTTACATACATATACATACACTGCAGAACATATTGAGAAAAAGTAATAACAAAACAGAAAATATATTCTTTGACAAGAAGCATAAAATCTAAAAAGACAACACTTATGATAGATAAAGAAAGGCACTACAAAGATTGAACAAATACGCCAGAGATTTCTTCCATGACAACAAAGGATTGAAACTGACAATACATAAAACATCATTTGAAACAAAAAAATAGCGCTAAACTGCTATGTAACATTTAATCTCCTATATATCAGTGAATGCTAGACAATTTCCTCACAAATGAAGAAAAAACCTGAAGTGACACATGATTCTACTAATAAATACTAAAAATATCATGGTCAGAAAATCTGACAAACAAGTTTTAAAGACAATAGGAACATAAATGAAAGGACACTTGCATTTACAATCAGAGAGAGAGAGAGAGAGATAAAAGATATTTCTGGGATATATAATGAGAAAAGAGGACCTAGAGAATTTAACATTTACAAGGAGCAGGGGGTAACAGCAAATAACTTAGAGAGTTTGTGTGAATGAATGCCAGAACAAGAACAGAGGGGTGGTAATGAATCAAATATTACTTAGAGTAACAAAAGACAGGAAATAGTAGAGAGCTATGATCACCTATGTACTGAAAGGACTTTGCACATTAAAGAAGCAGGTATATTGTTTGTAGAGTGGCACTTGAATGTTGTAGTAGATAATTAAAAAAATAGAATGAAATGAGAAAGGAAAAACTCTAGCTAAAACTACTGCATCTTCTCTATTTGAGAAAAAGTAAATTCAATTCTTACAAAAAAATACTTTTGGAACAAAGAATAATTGTAAAAGTGAAGTTCAAACTGCCAAAATTTACCTATAACATTCAAAAAATGACAGGCATATTTATGTAATTTAGCAAATTCATTGGTTATATATTTTGCAGGAATAATTTTTAGACACTTAACTGTTATCACATGTAAGAAAGAATTAAAAATTAATCTATTAGCAAACTGATCTTCCATATTTACTAATGATATTATTCCGTTATTATAGTAATAAGATATATTTGCTTATTGGTGTCAAATAATGCTTCTTTTGATCATAACAGAATATCTCATAACTAAAAAGGGCAGATCAGAATGTATGACTGATAGAAATTCACATTGTGTTTTATGTTATGATGTAAGGATACAGAATGCAATTATCTCCCTTCGACAGTAGAAATTTACTTATGTCTCAAGGGGCTATTAAGGCTCATATGACAGCCCTTCAGAAACAGTTGCTGTATAGTTTTCCACTAATGAGGATATATGTCTTCTAGGAAGGAACAGAAAAGATATTACTCAACTGTACATATCCCTCTAACCAGCTTTCATTTTATTCATTCCTTTTATATGCTATTTGCCTTCATAATCAGGGTGTCCCCCAGAAATGTACTCACTTTTTCACTTCAAAGTCAGTTTGAATAAATATTTAATATTTAATTTAAACCATTAATCGTCTTTGTAAGATAATGAAAATTAATATTTCAGCAAACATGGATAAATCTGTCTGCAATAAGACAAAGTGTCAAAAGGACGTTTGTTTTCCGTGACACTACCTTTACCATCAGTCTTTCACAATGTTTATTATTTTAAAAAGCTATGATTAGAATTGGAATAAAACTTAAATGCACGATGAAAGTGGATTTATACATTTTTTTGTTGCTCTTGTGAATTTACAACAAAAATATTCATTACTGTTTATTTATTTATTAGTGTTTATTTATATAAATAATTTTATATCTACAATATTCTAAAAACTAATACAATTCAATATTTATCATTTACCAATAAAGAAATAAATTTAAAAACAATTTTTTATTTATAAAGTTATAAACATTTATTAAATTATTAAAATATGTAAACCAATTATAAGGAAATCTTTATTTACAATTTTATAAAGTCTGAATTAATTAGCAATTAACTAATGTTTTTCCAACCATTCCAGTAGCAGAGAAGACTTATTTTCTTTCTTTTCCAAGTTCCAGAAGATGTAATAGATTATATTCAGTAATTATATCAAAAACAACATCAGTAATCATCATTCTGTAACTTAATGTAAAATTAATTCTTAATGCAATGAATTAAGCATATATACAAATTTAATATAAAATAAATCATATGAAATATTTATAGACTAAAGTAGGTGTTCCTTTAAGTGAAAGTATTTAAGCATTTAAAATGGAATTGTCCCATCAAATTTGATTTGCTTCATAAAACTATACAAAAAAGAAAATGAATATAGAAACAATATTTTTAATGGAAAACACTTCAAATCTTGTTATACAATATTATCAGAGATAGCATCTTACAAAGGATATTTACTAAATATAATTTTAATTTTTATAGCAACATGCTTCAATTTAAAAATATCATAAAATTCCAAAGAACAAAGTAAAAAAAAACAAAAAACAACTATGGATTGAATTATTGAGCTCATATACGAGTTAAAAATATTTCTAAAATAATGTAAAAGCCAAGTATCACAGAATGACATCACCAGCCCTTGAGAAAGTCTTGAGAAAAATATATGCATTAAAAGATAAGGATCAATAAAATATACTTACTTTGAATTCATTGCATAAACTTTTATGTTTAAGGACTGCAGCATCTTTTGATGTTATACCATAGTCCCATCCACAAAATATCTTGGTAACAAAATAGAATGTGTTTTCATTACCAGCTTCTATATAATTAGTTTTGTATGACCTTGCAATGCTGCCCAAAGGAAAAATATTTTAGGATTAATCAAAAAGCTATTTTTAAAGGTTATTTAATTAAAATGTTGAAAAACTGTTAAACTTATGTCAGTTTGATTTATATGAAAATCAGCAATTTACCCAAAAATGGTAAAAACAAACATTAAAAATAATCGCTTGATGTAAGAAAAATTAA